TTCAAAAAGTACCACTACACACTTTATCCAGGGAGAGACCAGAGCCACAATTCATGCATGCTAATGGAGGGACAGGCTCCAGTACCCTACTCAAATAACAAGGAGGAAGAAAAGCTTCGAGAGGAGCTTCAGCTTGATGACTCTGGGGATGCCTACTGATGCCATGACCCCTAAATTCAGTTTTGAGAAAAAATTCCTAATCAAAATACCTTGTAGGGCAGAAAGGAATCCCAGTTAATGCCGATCATATCTGATTTACAGATGGCTCCAAAAGCGGTATGGGTCAGAAAATGGTATTTATAAAAATAAATCAAGCCTTGGGAAGATATATCACTGTCGGTCAAGCATAGACTGTGGCTATTGAACACTGTGCCAAGTAGATTCAAAGACTAGGTATCGTTAAAAAAAAGAAAAGGCACCAACACAGACAGCCAGGTGGCACTGAAGGCAATCGCCGCATCCTCGGTAAAGTGCAGAGTAGTTTGCGACTGCAGTAGAGCCCTGTCCGACATTGGAGAAAATAACAAAATTATCCTTGTCTGGGTGCCTATAAATTGAACAAGGAAAGTTTAATGAAGACACCTATTGGCCCTGAACCCTTTTGTGGTTACCAAACTGCCAAAACGCCGATCCATTACACAATGGATCAATAATAAGTCCACCGCTTAATGGGAATGTAGCCCGGGACAGAGGCATGCGAAAAAGTTTACCAAAGGTTCATCGCAGAAACTAACGGCAGAACTACTAAAGCTCGGACGTGCTAGGACTAGAATAATAGTTGGACGGCTAACTGGACACTGCAGACTCCGGAGGCATATGTATAAACTCGGAGTGGCAGAAACAGGCCTGTGCAGATATTGCCAGGAAGAAGAAAATTCTTCAATATTCTGTGTTGGTGCGAAGGCCTATGTAGGCCGAGATTCCTAATCCTGGGAGAGGAAAATCCAGGGCCTGGAGGATATACGGGAGCCCTTGAAAAAGCTTTGAGGTCTGGTAAAAAGCCTCAAGCTTAACGAGGAGCTCAAGATAAAAAAAATATTTCGTGGTTGTACTGGGACGTGTTTGTCACCCCGGCCAATATATTTGTCTCGCGCGGAACATTCACATCGTCGACTTGCAAAATTAATCAGTCTAAGCCATTCGGGCCAACGAAAAAAAGAAGCCAAATTTGTACAAATTAGGAGCACAAGCATTATCGTTTGACCAGGATTTATAATAGTTCGAAAAGGTTTACGCATTTACATGTACTATGTAATAATAAATACATTTCTGTCTAGGGTTATTATTAGAGACCGGATTTTTATGCAGTTGCATATTTTGTTTGCCACCACATACGATCGAGGAAATCACATATCCGAATCATGCATCTAGGAAGCCGAAGGTTAAATTTTAAAGAGCCCATTTTTGCATATTTGAAGAATATCGCATAAAATTGCATATTTGGATATTTTTTTTAATGTAAAATCACATTTATCGCGCCAAATATTTAAAATGTATTGGTTTTCGGGGGGGGAAGCATAAAACAATCTGTAAAAAATAAAAATTTGGCGAAAAGTAGGTTTATTTCAAAGAAAACTGAAACAGGTCGAAACGACGGGAAGAGAAGATTCTAGAAATGCCGACAAAAGAATATAAAACCCTTCTTAGGTCTAATATTCAATATCATCCCAAATTTTATTTGACCGTAGGCATAATTTCACGGAAGCCAATTTAGAGAAGTATTTGTTCATTAACATCAATTATGCTCAATTAGTATAAAATATCTAGTTTAATTATGTAAGTGAGAAAATATTTTTGTTAAATGTAAATAAACTCTAAATACTTGCTAATTTTAATTATTATTAGTTTTAAAGACTTTTAATATATATTTCTGTTTAAAGTTATTATGACAGTAAAAAACTGGTTCACTGCATATCATTGCATATTTTAACGTATTAATACTGCATATTATTGCATATTTCAGGGCTTTCAATTGCATATTTTATAGAATATTTTGGCAATTTTTACTCCATAAAAATCCTGTCTCTAGTTATTATATATTAAACTATTCAGATAGGAACTCGTGGTCTCTAAAATGCCGTCTTATTTAGCATATTTATTCTTAAGCTCCGCCATAATGACCAAGTGAAAAAAATCTTTCCATATTATTATTCTTCCATTGAATTTTGATTTTTCTTCTTTAATCCGTACCGTCCCTCATACGTTAGTTTATTCCGTCATGGGTGTGCTGTTAGCTTTTTACAAATTTCCTATAACCACAAATGTCGCTAAAGCGAACGCAGGTAGGTACAGTTGGTTTGGTCTCTTCATCATCAGAATTATCGCCAAAACCAGCTTCTTCCTCACTGAATTCATTCATCAATTTTAAAATTCGTTCGGAAAAATCTGGACCTTGGATCATGTTGGTCCATTGTCTCTGCATATATCAAGAAAAGAGATATTCACATTGAAAATTTAGAAAATTAAAATAGACCCAGAAGAAAAGTGTTACTTTCAAAATATACTGCGCGTTCAACAATCTGGGTCTGAGAGATCCCGTTACTGTTTACAAAATAGGTACCTACCGCATGATCATACTGGAGTCCTCAAACCTAGGCTATGGAAGCTCTACTAGCTTCTTCGAATTTACATGGGCGCCATATCCTGTTTCACCCCTCCGGTTAGCCAACACACAACAATGAAATTACCCTGTGAGACAGAGAGGGACGATTCCGGGTAATACAGTTATAATTTGAAACACCTATGTTTCTATGGAAAATAATTTCCCGCGGGCCGCTAGAATGGGTATCTAGGCGCGTTTTATCCCGGACAGTGGGAGGCATCGACTATTCCATGGTGCCTTGGATGCAATGGAAATGATTTTATCCAAGTCCCCGGACACTGATAACAACAATAGAACAAGTATAGAGTAATGATATTCCATTTCGGTCTCTATACGGGGCCAAGCTGCGATACCCCTCCAACACATGCGACACCGTGAGTCGGTCATCTTGGCATGCTGGGCACCTAGGTCGACTCGCGCCAACCAACAGGTACCCATGAGTCGCACGTGTGTGGCCGACCCGCAGGCGGGTCAGGACAACGGTTTCCCTTCGAGATATCCCCTCCGGGCTCCATCGGTTGATCGTCAACTTAACGGACACTAGCGCGTCAGTCGAGTCGGCCCAACGACGCTTCCACTTGTCTAATATCATATTTTTCACTATTCTCTTAGCGTTGTCAGGCCGAATCGGGGTGGTCTCAACATCATCACTGTGAGGAAAGAGAGTACCCTCTTTCGCGGCCAGGTCCGCTCTCTCGTTCCCCTCCAGTCCGACGTGTCCTGGAATACAGGCTAAAACCACCCTTTTCCCGGCGCGCACAATGTCCACATATTTCAATTGGATTTTGCCGACCAGTGGATCCCGTGTATAGAGGTCTCTCAGGGCTCTCACCGCGCTGAGGGAGTCAGTGCAATGAGAACAGTTTCGTCCTCCATGCCCGACACCCCCAGCATTGCGTGCCAAATCGCGTTTAGCTCGGCGGTGTACACACTGCACTCTCTAGGGAGTGGGTGGGAGGAGCTCTCCTCCCGCGTGTACACCCCGCATGCCACACCAGCCCCGGTCTTAGAGCCTTCCGTGAAGACGGTCTTACATCCGGGAAGCTGAGAGCGGAGTTCAAGGAACTCCGCTTTATATTGGTGCGGCATGGTGCGCGACTTGGGCAGGGCTGCCAGATCCTTCCGGCCACAGTACCATCCCCTCCCTCTCCAGGGATTCGGCAAAGCGGATCCCTAGAGGTCGCGTCCGGGTGGGCAGCCTGGAATATTTATCCTCGTGAGGGTTGCCCGTGATCATTACCGCCAGCGGATTGCCTGGTTCGGCCAGCATGGATGCCGTATCCGTAGGCGAGCTGCTCCCGCTTCAGGTCCGGCGGGAGAACACCCACCTCGCAACAAAGGCTGGCCAATGGCGTGGTCCTGAAGGCGCCTGACACCGCTCGAAGACCCTGATAATAGAAACGGTCGACCTTGCGGGACCTCCTTGCAGAACCATACGTCATACATCCGTAAAACATTCTCGAGCACAGCAGCGAGTCGAATATCCTTAATAAAATTAACACGACATTTGAAAAATGGCAAAAAGGAGGGAAAATTCAAAAGGTGAGGTTGAGATGGGAAGTTAGGGTCCAAGTAGATCGAGGTCACATAGCTCAAGTGGCAGAGCAGCGGCGTATCTAGACGAAGATCGTGGGTTCGAATCACCCTCGTGACACCGACTCTTCTATCTCAACTAAAAACCTTAATTAATTGAAAGATTAAATGGGAAGTTCTAGAAGGGGGGGCCTTTTTAAAGGAAATTTAACGCTCTTTTCAATGATTTTTTTTTACTTCCACGCAAATGAATAGTTCAAGAGCTATAAGTAGATTTGTGGGGAAAACCGTAGACAGTTGGATAAAAAAGTTGAATATCTGCGAAAGGGTTGCGAATCGGACCAAGTTTTATGTGGTTTTTTCTGTCTCCCTGTATAATATTTTATTTTATATTTCATATGAATCTTGAAAATAACGATGTTAATAATAATAAATTCTCTACTTGAGCAGGATAACATTTCCCTCCTTATTACTGTTCATTAATCATTATTATTGCAGCGTGTTTAATTATAGATCTATGTTTGGATGGACTCATCAGAATCATGATTAATGTGGTCCAATTCAACTCATTAATTCAGAAATGGCGTCAATTTGTTTACGCGTTGATACAAGCTCATGTTTAATGTAAAGCAACGCCCATACTCTCATTTACAATTTGCTGACCGAATTATATATAAACTAATTTAGTAGAGAAAAGGGCCGCCCACACGCATAAACATTTTTGTTTAATAAAAGTCATTGGAATTCCATAGTTTTCGACAAATAATTGGCCTGTTTATTAAATATTTTTAAGATAAAATCATATATTTTCATGAAAGAATTTACAAAAACAATAAAAACAAAATTTATGTATTGTTCGACTAACCTGTTAAACCAGTCGTCCGTGTATCGCGGATAAGGAAACTGATCGTTACTGCTGAAGTCGTAGCTTGCTTTGGCATTCTGTAACACAATATTTTTCAATTAACATTTTAACATAAATAAACACAAGTAAAGTCAAAGAGATAGTTTACACAGATTTAACAATATCATGAATCAACGAACGGATAAAATTAATTACGGTCCACACCAAAGGAGAAAACGACGAATTAACTTCATAAACGTGATAAATAAGCATTCGACATGACTTAAATATCAACAGCAACAGCAAAAGTGACATTTTTTCTTTTTACAACTGTACTTATTTGAACTTATCACAATTAAAATTGTTTATATGTACAAATTTAAAAATAAATTAAAACAAAATATAGTAATTGAAGAAAAAATGAAATAAATAATCTAACACTAGAATGCGAACAATCATCCTCCGATGATCTTTCTAGGCTTAGTCTCACTGCCCAACAGGTCGCGACGTCACTGCCGCTGTATTCTCCAGGGAGGATTATTGGATATAGTACGGATATAGTAAGTAATATAGTAGTAATAGTAAGGTGGGACAAACAGATTGGGATGCAAGGAAAGGGATTTGTGGAATTTTGTATACACGAAATGTTATGACATCTTTCTCAAAAGCAATGTTAAGGTCATTACGGATTGGATACATATAAGGGACACACATTGACTTCTTTTTGGAGGATTTTGGATTGGGCAATCTGTATAAGTTGGCAGTTGGAATGTTTGGTAGAACCCCACAGTTCAATGCCGTACGTCCAAATTGGCTTTATTATCGTATATCAGTCGTTTGTTGTGACGCGACAGTTTTAACCGTTTGTCTATAGTCGTAAGGAGTGTTTTTTAATGGATAGTCAATTCCTGTTTTTTTAGATTTATATGTGGCTTCCAAGTTAATCTTTTGTAAGTACAGCCCAAGAGAGCGGACGCCGTTAACTGTAAGAATAGATATGTGATATAAGTATAGCGGTGGTATTATTCCATTACGGTAGTCAGAGACGGATGTACCTTGGCTGACTTGAAAGAAGTGCCCAGTCAGGTAAGATCGGGAATAAGGAAGTAGGCCAAAGAAGATGCTCCTTACCTTCCACAGCATATCCTGATGCCAGATGCATCAAGAAAAGCACTCGAGAGGTACTGTTTCAGCTCAAGAGAGGAAGAGACAGCGTCTAACACGGTGGCATTAGTGGTTTGTGATGTTTACGGAAGCCAAACTGGTGGTTGGGATAATGTTTTGTTCTTCTAGAATGGGAAGGATTCTTTTAAAAATGCTCTTCTCTAGAATTTTTCCTAGGATAGGTAAGAGGCTTATCGGTCGATAGGTTTGAGGTAGGTGGTGAAGTTTATGGGGCTTTTGTGGTAGATAATCTTGATAATGAAAAACTTCTATTGTAAGAGAAAATCAATAGTTTTATAACTCGACGGATTTGAGCTGTTATAAGGTCGGTTCCAGGATTTTTCTTTTTGGAAAGTTTTTTGATAATATGCTGGACCTTTGAAGGATGAAAAGCTTTTTGGGGAAGGCTCATATGGTGAAAACATAACGCAATTGACAACATGCGGGCTTCCACTGAAGATTCCCGAACGTTTAAAAACGAGATTAGCCATACTTGGAAAAAATGTATACTAGGGCTTGAATATTGGAATTCAATAACCCAACTTACACACTTGCTCAACCTTATGATTTAATCCATTATATTTAGTGGTCTGATTGACCGAATTACTTCTTTCAATTAATTAAGCTTTTTATGTAACGTTTTGGTTGAAATGAAAAAGCTAGCGTCACGAGCGGGATCCGAACCCACGACCTTCGGCTCAATACGCTGCTCTTACCACTTGAGCTATCGTGACTTCATTCCAATCGGACACCAACTCCCCATCAAAACCTACAATTTTATGATTTAATCTTGAAATGAACCGATAGAGTTAATTTTTGCGAAGGAATTTTTCGAAAAGCATTTTGTTATTGGACTGTCAAACTGTAATTACTTTTGATCAATACTGTCGCCTGTTTTCTACATATTATGCTATGTAGAACCGAGATAATAAACAAACATTTGCAAAATTAACACAGAAGCTAAGGCAAACACTGAGATGATTTTATGCGCACTATTGTTGAATGTAATGTCCAGTTGAAGTTGATAAGGCTAATCATGTTGTACAATTGATGTGTTTATGTTTACGTGTTGTGACAACAGAAATAAAACTCAACATTTACATAGGGTATGATACATGATAAATGTTCATTTTGCAAACGTTTAAACAAACAAACATACCAAAATTACTGTTTTCTTACGCTTAAATCTGTGGTTCATACTTGCTTTCAATACGTCATGCGGATTGAGACAAAATCAATATTGCGTTATATTTGAATATTTAAAAAAAATATATTTAAAAAAAAATCTTTGGTTTGTTACTATATTTGAACAAAATTTGTTCAGTTTCTCTAGTTCAAAAGATAATTTCTCTAGAGATGTAATAAAGGCTTCAGAGGATATCGTGGGATTACAAATCTTTTCCAAACGTATGCTGCAAAAAGAGTTGGCACAACTAAAATTGCCTTGGAAATTATTCGAATTCGAATTACTTCAAAAACAATCAAGCTGATTTTATTGAAATACCGAGGAAGTTAAATGAATAGAATATTCAACAGAAATTATAAAGTAGTAAATCAAGAAGTTATTTTTTATTAGTAATATATGTTAACATCAAATATTTTATTGTTTTAAATAATATGAGTATGTTTTTATCTTTTTGTTAATTATTCTGTGAATTGTTGTGCATTTGTATGCAGTTATGTCCCTGATTATCCTTGTCCGCCTATTCTCGCTGTGAATGTACATTTGAACGGATGGAAGGGTTAAAAATAATTGGATAAATAACAAATATAGGGTACAAAAAAGAAAGTTTATGTGGTTATTAATATTTTTGTTAGGCTGAATTTTTATTTGTTTAATACATTCCAATCTCACTGCCAGAATTTTCAGGTATATTGCGCCGAATATGATATTCCCAGATATATCAAGTACACCAGGTGTGTTTTGAATGCTTATAAAACGGGCTCGTTTCATACAAATTTAAAATGCAATATATTCCTAAGATTGCAGCTGCAAAATAATTAACACTGGAATATGATAAGCGACATACCTGCACTTGAACCTGGATGGTAGAAATTATGAATACGATTTAATGCAGTCGGATCCAAGAAAAACTGAATTCAGCCCAGAGGACAAACTTTTCACGTACTTTGGTATAAGTTAGCCAATCGATTTGTAAAATTTATACTAAAGTTGCCGGAATATTCTGCCATGATGGGGACCATGGTATGGTTCAATTTTACTGAATGAATTTGTTAGGTAAAGCCTTGGAAACGTTTTGTTTTTTGCTGGTTTTGTTCCGATTTGATATTAATCTTTTATAATTTCTAATGGGACATTAAGGTTAATGTATTTCTTCAAAGTTGGTGTTATGTATATGCCTGAAGTAGTTATTGACTCTGCAGTTAAACATACAGTCATAGTCATAACTTAATAAATGGTTTTTCATAAACTCTATCAACGCATTTTTGTGTTTTGCCAATACGTCAACTTCTTCTTGCCAAAATCTCTGCGCTCCAATCATGGTCAAACTATTAAACAGATAAGTGCACCATTCGTATGGCATTTCCTTTTGAAAAATCAAATCATTTAATTTTTTAAAATATAATTTGTAGTACATTACAACTACCGTCAAGTAAGTAACAAGAAACAATGAGCAAATGAAAACAAGAGTGGAGAAAATAGCCATTGGTATTACTCCAAATGTTACTAAAATATTGTGTTTAATTGATAGTTGTGACATTGTCACTTTCACTATCATCACCTCCCATTTCCTGGGGGATCTCGAAGCCATTGTTTCTTCAGTCGGCGGGGAGGGATTCGTCGGGATGCGAGGTTTCTGATGGGCTGATTTACGGTAGTGGGAGGTTTTTATGAAACGTGCGGTAACGGGAACGAAATCTTGAACGAAAGGGATATGTAAGTCTGTATGTGTAGTTAGGTTCGATACATAAAATAAAGCATCTAGTATTTTTCGTAGGATTAACGACTAGGCAGTTTGAATGCGGTGGATGTTGGAATGCTTGGCTGAACCCCTCACTTACAGTCCGTAACTCCATACTGGCTTAACTATGAGGTTGTAAAGCAGCCTATTATTTTTGAGAGGTAAATTAGAGCGTTTGTCAAGAATTCATGCAAGAGGTCTATATCGTGTCAGTCTTGAGTGAGGATTACAACACGTCAGGCGTTTGTCGATGTACAGTCCGAGGTACCGCACCTTGTCCGAGTTGGGAGGGGAATATTATTTAAGAAAACGGGGGGGTGATCTTTTTACGGAGAGTGAAAGTGATGTCGGTGGTTTTGTCTGTGTTAAATTTTATCCTTTTCGTTTTGCACCAAGACTCTAGTAGTGAGAGGCGTTGTTGGATGTTTCGAGTGGAAATGACAAGGTTGGAGTTGCTAGAGAGAATTGCTGTATCGTCTGCAAATGTGAATGTGGTGGTTTCGGGATGTGATAGCATGTCAGCTGTGAACACCTGGCATAGTGTGGGGGGCAGAACGCTACATATATCAATATGTAGCATGGATAGGTAAATATGCAGAGAGGGAGTGGCCTTCGACTGGTGCAATCAATGGCGAACGAACATCAAACCAGCCCACCAGGGCATATTAACAAAGAAACAATACCACCATCGAACCAAGTCCGCTACTACGGGCTTTACTTATATAGCAGACTTACATGGAACCCACATACAAATTAAAACTACAAGAACTTAACAAAACATATGGACTCCTCAAACATAACAAGCTAACGATTACAAAACACTCATCAGACCTATTTGCACTTACGAAATGGAACTATCGGGCTAGGTCAAATCATCCAACGAATTGAATCCTTTCATCTAAAGTTCTCTGCCGTATCCTCAATGCTCCCTTCTACTTCACCAATTAAACGATCCGCAAGGATCGTAAAATCCCATTCGTGAAAAATCTTATCCGAACACGCTTCCTAAAATTCCG